CAGAGTCTGTAACAGCCAATTGAGATTTTTCATTGGCATGATTTTGGATTGCATGCTTCACTTCTTTTTACTTGACAATTAGGAAGTTAATTAAATAATTCTGAACACAATTAAATATTTTAACTAGGCAACATATGAATTGATATTAGCTTGTACATCCCACATAGTACTTGTAAAATGCGTCTTTATTTGTCAACTGCAGGGCAATTAGTGTATCTGTGATTGTCAGAAGATAGTTTAATAATCTTTGAGCATGAGATTAAATTGGTGTTTAAATCAGCTTCATGTTTTGGTTTGGTTTTTAATACAGCACAATTTAGTTTTGACAACAGAAATTTTCCTGTGTATGTTTGAAACACAGAAAAAGAAACTAAACAAAAAATAATGATGTCAAGATGGCTTCAGAAAGACCTGTTTTAACCTGGAAAATTATATTTAGAGTTCATTCCACCAAAAAAAATGTATATGATAGGAAGAGCCCAAGTTTATGAGATATCTTTTTTTCTGCCTTCTCAAGTTTCTTTATGCTCATCACTTAGGTATGTGGCTCAGCAATGGGACAAAAAACTCCCCCCTGATTTATGAGCATAAAAGCCTTGACACAGTATACACCACTGTTCATATTTAAAGCATTTGTTAAAAAAAAAAAAAAAACCAAAAAAAAAAAAAAAACCAAACAAAGAAAAGAAAAAAGTGGGCTGCAGCAGTCTCTTAATTTTTAAATTAATTCCTCGTGAAGAGCCATCTTTCTATGCCTTTATGGGCAAAATGAATTGGAAAGAGAGATAAAGTATTTCTCTTGCTGTCTTTAAAAAGCTATAGGATTCAATGATTATTCAAAATGATAGGGCATCCTGATGGAAAAGCAAGCAAGCAATCTTTTGTTTGATGTCAAAAGAAAGTCCTAAGTAATCAATGTTTTAAGCCCTATGAATCTTCAGAAATTAAATATGCTAATGGCTTCTCTATTGCCGAGTAATTAAAGTACCCTGCCCTCTCTCTTTATTTGAAAAAAAAAAAAAAAAAATTAACACTACTTCAAACACTCCTGACATTATTGTGGGTTACACTACTGAAAAATCAGCTAAAGCAGGCATCAGGCAGAAGATAGTCTAAAGCACTATAAGTCAGAACATGAAAGCATAGCTAGCAAAAGAAGATGGCTGGAGATAAGTGTTATTTCAGCTACTATTACTACCCAGCCAAAGCAGAACTATGTAGAACAGAAAAATGAAAGAGTTCTTCTAAGGATGTTGCTAGCATACATTAAGACAGAAATAAAGTAATAGAATTACCTCCTTTTAGCACTGATCCTAGTAAATGCTACCTATAATATTGAGATTTTTATGCACACTGTTTTGAAAGAGATTCTTTAAGATTTCAGACATGTAAGAATACAGAATTGTGTCTCCATTTATATATTTCATTCAAAAAAAAAAAAAAAAAGCTGTGAGATTACAGAGAAATACTACAGGTCAATTATTAACCATAGGAATAAAATCAGTTTTGTGATTTATACTTTCCAATTGATGACCAAGGTAGATATAGAGATCAGCCCCGTGGGTACTTGGTTACCTCCAGGTGACATGGAAAATGCACACAGAATGTTCATACTCAACATTTTTTGACAAAGTCATTTAAATTCTTCAGTTCTAGTTCCTTTATATTGCAGTTTCTTTTAATTCTTTCCAGTTTAATTTGGGGAATAAAAATGTACTTACAAGATTAATGTCACAGCATTAAAGTCTTACTTCCTAGAGAACCAGGAGTTTACTGCTGAGATTGGACAATTCTTCATTTGAGTAATTTAGAAAATTCAATTTAGTGCAGTCAGGTTCATATAAGGTTCCTTTTGTTGTAGGTACTGATCAAAATCTTAAGTTCTTATCATATCAGCAGGCATTTAAGCAACAGATGAGTCATTTTGCAGCATTTTGGAACAGCCATTTATTGCCCTATGCTGTTTCTCCTTCCATTGTGTGACGTCTTGCCCCTTACAGCTGAGAAGTACCTCTGCCCTTAATTGTTTACCCTGACCCTCCCCATTGCAAATTTTCCTTCAAGCTATTTATTACCAGCTTTTGTGTTGGCCAGGCTAGAACTGTACACATTCTATGTGTGTCTTAGTTCTGACATTTTCTTAACTCAAAATCCTTGAATTTATAACCTTGGCGTTCTTTTCCTGTAGTCCTTTTCATTTAAGCTGCACACTCCAATTTACATTGCCTGTCAATGGCTTGAGAACTTTTATGCCAGGTACTAATTCCCAAGGCAAAGGACCTTTCAATGATGTTAACGGTTTCCTGTCATTAGATATAGTGATTTCAGGTACTCTTTCCTCTGATTATTTCACAGAAAAGTCTCAAGAAAGGGGAGAAGCAAAATCCAATGAACACTGTTTCCAGTCCAAATATTAGGTGCGCTCTTGCCTTATTTCAGCAATTAGTCCTCAGTAACAAAGTCAGAAAAAAACAAACACCAGAAGCTGACAAGTATTTTTTGTGTTCACAGATCCGGGTCACCTCCTCCTCCCCTCCCTCTGCACTTCCACTCTGATTCTCTCTCTCCATTTCAGCTGAGCCATCAAGGCCAGCCATAGCACTGCTCTCACATCTTTTCCACCCAGCGTGACTGGTCCCCAGTTGCTTCTTTTCCTTCAGCAGATGGCATGTGCATGGGTAATAAACACGAACACATGTGCCCGACCAGCCATTGCTCACAGTCTCAGTCGCTCTGCTGCTCCCTTTAGAGCTTCTCCTCCCTGCTGGTCTCCCTCTTACAGAATAAAACCACCCAAATCACTGCATCATCGCCTTGGGGTTTCGTACAGACCTGCAAAGATGGGAGAGTCACACACAAACAATATGATATTCTTGTGACCCACATTGTACATGCAAAACAGAGCATTAAATACTCAACAGCCCGAAAGAACTTGCCTTCCTATGTCGCCTTTTTGGGAAGTTCTGGGGGGTGCCATCCTTTTGTAGGCTTTGTACAGACCGCAGAGGGGTAAAACCTGATAAAAGCTAACTAGTCAGCAACTCCCAGAGAAGAAATCCCATGTTTCATAAAGATCCAAAAGAGTGGGGAAAATCACGTAGGCGCTGTGTGGAAGCACAGGACGAGCAAAGAAGAGCAGACCGGAAAGTCCTGAGGAAGAACTGTGTGTGTAACGCTACTAGCACAGATTTGAAATCTCTATGTGAAGGCTTAGCCCGATTCTCCTTAAATGTGCTTGATGATAACACAGTGGTTCCTGTGATTTCAAGGGCTATAATTTCATTTTTACTTGAATGACTCCTAACCTAAGCTGATTTAAAGAAAGAATGAAGGCTGCCCCCCCACTAACTTCTTTGCTATCACTTTAGCCTGCTTCCAGAAGCGTAGCACAGTTAATTGGTAATGATAATGATGCTAATTTCTAAATATTCTTACCTATTCTTTACTATCTACTTTGCATCAAATTGAAGCCTACTTAAGGATTATTTTTAAGCATTTATTCAATTATTTGAATTGGGGTTTTCCATATTTCCCACCAATTTTTCAAGCAAGATTGTACATTTCAATCTTGACTTAGCTCAATTTAGCTTGCCTCTGACACAGCACAGATTATTTCTGTGAACTGAAGCATCTCTGATAGATGAATGACCAAAGTGACCCTTTCATTTTTCTCTGTAGAAGCCATCTACCGTTGTGAGAGATTTTTAAACCATTCATGATTACCTCATCTCAGACGCATCTCATGGAGGCTAAATTTAAAGCTAAAAGCTCTCCCGATGGTCATAGTTAAAGCTCGTATCTTTCAATCCATCATTTTGTTTGACATGCAAGAAATGTCTTTATTTCAGCAATGACTTATCACTGCTACTTCAATGTAAAAAAAAAAAAAAAAAAAAAAAAAGGCAGCAGAAGGGGGAAGTTATTAAATGCACTTTCTAGGTTGGACATGTGCCTTTTGGTAGTCCAGTGAAAATCTGTTTTTATTTGGCTGAGTTATGAGGGTTTAAAGACACAGACTTGC